TGTTTTATATCCTAACTTCATGAACCAGTAATTCATTTCCTAATTAAGAGCAATTTCTGGATTTCTCTAGACTGATCAAAGAGGCATAAAGTAATTGAGCTGGTAAATATAGTTAAATATAAGATTATTGCCTGGGCCCACTTTATAATAATTTGGTTCAGCATTATCCATATGTTTGAAGGTCTTGGTCCTTATCCATCTTTTTTTATACTGATGTGGTTTTTGTTTTGTTTTTTGAGTTGGAGTCTCACTCTGTTGCCCCGGTTGGAGTGCAGTGGCACATTCACAGCTACCACAGCCTCGACCTGCTGGCCTCAGGCAATCCTTCGGCCTCAGGCAATCCTTCTGCCTCAGCCTTCAGAGTGGCTGGAACTACAGGCGTGCACCAACACATCCAGCTAATTTTTTGATTTATTGTAGAGACAAGGTCTCCCCAAGTTGCCCAGGCTGGTCTCGAAGCTAACATGGTTTAAGCGTCCAATTCTCCTGGGCTCTGGCCTCCTCCACGGTTAGCACATACCATCAACAGTGTGCTGGATGCTGTGCTGGGTCTTCTTTTACATGCTCAATCCCACAGAATGCTCACATAACCAAAAAATGAATACTACCATTATCCCCAGTTCACAGGGAAACTGAAGCGGAAAATAATTTGTCGAGTCATACAACTAGCAGCAGTAGAACTGGGTTTAGACTCCCAATCTGGCCTGTGTACTTCCATTTAAAGAGAACCTCAGCAAATTGATACTGTTTGCTCCTTTCTTTTTCTTTTTTTTTTTTTATTCGATTTGGAGTTTCATTCTGTCACGCAAGCTGGAGTGTAGTGGCATGCTCATGGCACTATAGCCTCAACCTGCTGGTTTAGGTGATCCTTCCGCCTCAATCTTCCAAGTAGATGGAACTACAGGCGTAGTTCCACCTCGCCTAGCTAGTATTTTGATTTATTGTAGAGATGAGGTCTCGCCAAGTTGCCCAGGCTGGTCTCGAACCCCTGGGCTCAGGCAATCCTCTCGCCTCTGCCTCCCAAAGTACTGGGATTACAGGCATAGCCGCCACATGTGGCCTGCTTGCTTCTTTATATATCGATCTGGTCATCCCTCCCTCTTGCTCCCTCAAACTCCCAATTTAAAATGAGGGGAAGCCGGGCTCGGTGGCTCAGCTAGTAATCCCGCGCCTTTGGGAGGCTGAGGTGAGTGGATTGCCTGAGCCTGTGGGTTCGAGACCCACCTGGGCAGCGAGACCTCATCTCTACAATAAATCAAAAAATCAGCCGAGCGTGGTAGCACATGCCTGTAGTTCCGGCTACTTGGAAGGCTGAGGCAGAAGGATCGCCGGAGCCCAGCAGGTCGAGGCTGCGGTGGCCAGGAGCGGCCACTGTACTCTAGTCTGGGTGACAGAGTGAGACTCCAACTCAAAAAAAAAAAAAAAATGAGGGGAGAAGCAAAAGTCCTTAAGTCTCAGATTTTGTTTGGTTTTCCTAACATTATAAAAGAAAACCACCAGTGTCTCAGAGTGAGTGTGCATGGCTTGTGTTTCTGATTTACCACCCAGTTTATAAATGCTTCTTCCTTGTTGTGGGTCGAGGTGATCACTAATGACCTAATAGAGAGAAGCTTGATTTTTTGTTCTCTGTAGGCACAGCATCAAGAAAGAAGAGAATCCTGCCTTCTCTGTAGGCAGGAGAGTTAAGTGTTGGGTTTCCTTCCTGCCTGTTAGAGGACAAGTAAAGTGGGCCAGGTTGCATTTTCCCATAGAACCCCTGCCCTGGATACTGGCTGGTTCCTGGCCTCACCTGAGTCAGGAAGGCGGCACTGGAAAGGGTTGAACCCTTGCTTCCTGTTTCAGAACCCATCAGAATCCTGCTTCAGATTTTAGGAATGAGAGTTTCCCCCAAACAACTCCCTTCATAGGAGTTCCTGAGGCACTGAACCATTTTTATCAGCAGACTCTGCTCCTGGCCCACCCAAATGGGCCACATCCTGCTGGACTTCAGTTCCTCATCCAGCCCAAAGGATTTTTCATCTATGGTTGGGTGTTCTTATATCTCGAACCGCTGGTCTCAGGCAATCCTCTCGCCTTGGCCCCCCAAAATGTTGGGATTACAGGCTTGAGCCACTACGCCCAACCGAGTGGTCTTATATCAAAAGAAGAAAATATTTCAATGCCTCTTCCTTTCCCTTATCTCTTATGTAATTCATATTCAATCTAGTCTTTTTTTTTTTTTCCAAATGCAACTACTGACTTAATTTATTCCTGGGTTTCATTTTGGGCCTCCTGCAGAGAGAACAGGTGGTCTCCCTTCAAAGCTTCCCCAGGTCTATTCTTCCCTGTTGCTTCCTCTAGTTCACTACTGGTACCACTGATCCCAACCCCAAACCACAGAGCCTATATGCCTCAAGGAAGGAGCGAAGGGGCAGTGATGTCCTACTGGGAAGCTACCCTATGGAGGTGCTAGAGGACAACCATGCCTGGGAGGAGGGGCGAGGGCCTAGGTCTGTGTTGGGCTGCAGGTACCCCTGTGGCAGCACAGGTCTTCCTGGTCAGTGTTCTGCTGACAGCTCTTTGTACTCCTTTCCCTCCACTGTGGGGCTCTCTCCAGAGTAACATCCTCCTCTTCTTTTCTTCTCACTCTACATATTCCACTCAGTCTAGACAAACTCACCCATCGAGTTCCCAATAGGGCACTATCTGGAGCAGGACAACTCTTTGAAGTGCTATGAACCGAATGAAGTCTTCAGCTGTGCCCCTCAGTCACTGTGACAACCAAACCTCCTTGACACATTCCCAAATGCCCCTGGAGAGGAGGTGCAGTATTGCTCAGTAGAGAAGCAAAGGGCTCCTGAGTCTACATCTCCCACTCAGATAGTATCCCTGTACCTTGTGACCTGTCTCAAAGACATCTTAAACTCAAATTTTCACACATAATCTCATCATTTTAATAGACTCTGTCTAGTAAATGACCCCACTACCTCTCACTCTCAGAAGGCTCCTGAAACACCTCTGAACCCTTTTTATCCTGTTAGTGTAGCAGTCCCTGAACCACAGGTGAAATTCTCTAATCCATCATACTTTCTAGATCCTTTAGGATACAGCCACCCCAACCCAATCCCTAATCTAGTCAGAGAATAGATTCTAATGCAAAGCCAATGAGATCAATTTTAGGTGAGCCCCCTAAAAGCTATGACAAAGAGAGGTAGTCTGTCAGCAGTGGAAGAGTTTAGGAGTTAAAGCAGAGCAGAAGTTAATTCTAGGCCACGTGTGGTGGCTCACACCTATAATCCCAGCACTTTAGGAAGCTGAGGCAGGAGAATTGCTTGAAGCCAGGAGTTCGAGACTAGCCTGGACAACATAGTAAGTCCTCATCTCCAGAAATAAAATAAAATAAATAAATTACTTAATTCTAGTTGTGCTACTTATTAGGTACATGACCTTAAGCAGGCCCTGAGCAGATGGAGAGCTAAGGGCCCGTCCCTGTGAGGCCTTTAATCTCTGAGGACTCCATCAAAGCCCTCACACTCTGTCATAATTATTTACTTTATCTCTCTCAGGAGACTTGGGGACAGAGGTTGTGTCCTCCTCCTCTCTGGACCCCAGGTCCCAGCTTGGCACATGGCAGGCACCCTTTTATCTGGTAAATGTTTGTGGTTTGTGGAGTGATGAACTGAGTTAGAAATCACTCTGTAAATAGTGTGCAGCTGTACCAATCTCCTCTCCTCATAATACCATCTGGCATTTGTAGTTAGTAAACACTAACAGTATCACTTTAATTCAGGACCATGGGTAGAGGCTCCAAGGAGAATGGAAGTCTGAACTTCTGAGTTCTCATCTCAGATCTGTTAACAAACAAAACCCATCACCCTGGGTATGGCACTTTCTCCAACTGAGGAAATGAAGAGTCAGCTCGGGGCAAGAGTTCTTAATCTGGAGCTACCAGAATATTAGAGGGTCTACAGAGGGACTTAAAGGTATTCCTTGAACAATCTGAAATTGTTGCCAAACTCCGTCTGTTTGTATTCTTACAGATTGCTGAACAGTCAAGAACTGCTAATCTGTATAATCTTCTAAATTCCTCCAATTAAGTCCTGGTGCATGTTCTTTGAGGGGAAGGAGGTGCAGGGGAACAGCAGGGATGGCTGGCACTCATCCCACACAGCCACTGCCATCCCAGGCCCATCTGAGAAGGACTTTGTCTAGGAAGCCCTGGCATGACCACAGGGCTGACTCAGCAGCTCCCTGAACTTTGGTGCCACAAGCCAAGGAGCAAAACACAGGGTCCAAGGCGGAGGAGATGTATACAGAATGCTCCTAAAGGGACAGTGGCACAAGATCAGAAATAAAAAAAGCTGAAAAGTGAACCAGATTTGGACTAAGAAAGAAAAGTAGCTTTAGAGACACAAGGACTATCAAGATCTGGAAGTCTAGTGCAGGCAAGGGAAACACCAGGAGTTCTGGAGATGGAGCCCTGTACTGGAAGGAAGGGAGAAGGGTTGACACTTTCTGAGTACTTACTAAGTCCTGGGTACTCTTGTGATCATAATAATTCCCACAAGGGAGGTTTGATCAGTCCCAAGCAAGTGAGACTAAAAACAGAAGTTCCAATGTTTTTAAGAGTCCTCTGGCCCCCCTTTCTGCTCTGCACTGTCTGCCCAGGAGAGAATTCAGGGCAGGTCCTAATTCAGGCAGCCTCTCTAGTGTCTTTCTGAAAAGCACAATGACACGAGGCTGGACTATGAATCTGCAGCTGGCAAAGGAAGGCTTCAATTCGTTTGCAACTGTCCTGGGCGTCAGCCACGTGCCAGTCACGGGGCTAGGTTCCCGGAGACACACGACAAGATGCCTGCCCTTAGCAATAACAGCTCACGGCCACCCCCGCCCCTCCAGAGTACCCAGATGGGATCCGGGCAGTCAGGGAGCGAACTGGAAGCGGGAACCGGGACTGCGGCTGGGCACGGAGGAGAGCGAGGCTGGGTCGGGTAGGCATCCCACCCTCCTTCCCGTTTTACCAGGCGCAAATCCCCGGGCCCATGCACCACCACGGAGAGATTCTCGGGCTTGGCCGCTGCCGCCATGTCGCTCTTCCGCTCCCGGGTGCAGTCTGCAGCCCTCGGGACGTGGGTCGCTCTGGTGGCGCCGCCGGGGCGAGGGTCCAGGGCACAGGGTGGGAGGCGGGGCCTGGGCTAGGCGGCGCGTGGGGACGCGGCTTCCTCGTACTGACAGACGGGGCGGGGCTAGCGTGGGGGCGGGATTGCTCCTCCTCCTCCCCTCCTCCACCCTTCGACCCCAGGCCTGCAGGTACAAAGCTGGGGGCTGGGAGGGGCGAAAGCTCATCGCCCGCTCCTTGGGCGGCGCGCTGTTTTTGTGCGCCTCGCATCCAAGCAGACACAGTTGCCCTAGGAGCGCTATCTGACCAGTGCACTCCAACTTAAGCTGCAGAAGCATAGGGGGGTGGGGGGCCATGGGAGGAGCTGTCGAGAATGCAGATTCTCGGCACCAGCACAGAGATTCTGATGCTGTAAGTCTAGGGCTGAGGTGAGGCCCGAAGGTCTGGATTGTTAGCAGGAGGAAGATAAGGCTGCTAATGGGGCACTGCGAGATGTACACTTTGCAAGACTGTCACTAACGTGATGCAGTGTCCATGATAGCCCGGTGTCTCCAGCATCTGCAAAGGCCCTGGCACGAATAGGAATGAATGAATTCACGTATCATTCCGTGGGTTTGATGCATTATTATAAAGCAGTGAAATGGAATTACTGAGCCACTTTCTATCAACCAGCTCTGCTGCATCAAACCCACGGAAGCAAGGTTTCTGGCCGGGCACAATGGCTCACGCCTATAATCCCAGCACTTTGGGAGGCGGAAGCGAGAGGAGTGCCTGAATTTAGAAGTTCGAGACCAGCCTGGGCAACATGGCGAGACCGTGTCTCTACAATAAACTTAAAAATTAGCAGGGTGTGGTGATGTGCGCCTGTAGTTCCAGCTATTTTGGAAGGCTGAGGCCGAAGGATCACCTGAGCCCAGCAGGTCGAGGCTGCGGTGGCCAGGAGTGTGCCACTCCACTCCAGCCTGCACTCGGTTGACTAAAAAAAAAAAAAAAGGAGGAAGAAAGAAAAACAAACAGGGTTTCTGTGAGAAATAAGAATGGTGATTTATTTTCAAATTGGAGCCTAGCTTATCTTGGGTTCTCAAGATGGTGTCTAAATGCTTTGTGCTTCTCTTGCTAAATCACTTCCTGCTTTGTGCTTCCTTTTTGCCGGCTTTTTACTTTAGCGGGTTTCATGTTTAAACTTTTGGCGGAATCCAATCAGATTGGTCTGTAAGCCACATAGCAAATAGGATATGAAAATGAAATAATTCTGTAAGCCCATTGGCAAATAAGACATGCAAATGAAATGATTCTGTAAACCAATCAAAATATGTCACGTAGGCATCGCTGGGGGAAACCTGTAACTTCTGCAGTACTCTACCAATGAGGAGCCAGAAGAAAGACATGTTTTAAACCAGAGCTGGTTCTTCCAGCTGTGGTGTGCCTGCCCACCGGACCCCCAATCTTGCAAGACCATCTGTGTGTCCATCCTTTGATTTTGGACTGATGAGTTCATTTCTCACAGTTTCTGCCCAAACTTTCTTCAAGCCTCTCTCTCCTTCTGAGAAACACAGTGAGGTGTTACTCTCAGGGGAGAGAACTGCTTCTCTATAGGACTAAGTCTAGAGGGGCCCTCTCTCCTTTGAAGATATTGCTCAGGAGCTCACACCTTATAGCCTCTCCCCCTCCCCCAGCAACACTGCCAACCTCTTATCTTCTCCAGGAGACTTTCCCCAGTGTCCCCAGCACTGGAAGATATATCCCTGTGGTACTGCATGGCCCAACATGTGGGATGCAGCCTGTACTGAGGGTGATCACCTCTTACCCGTATGCACTGATAGTCCACTGAGGACAAGACCTCATTTCTTAATTAGAACCTGGTAAAGTGTTTTGAACAGTATAGGAGCTCAAAAAAAATCGGTAATCAAAATGGATCAAGCTCTGGAGCCCAATAATGACAAAAAAAGGAAGTGTGTGTGTATGTGTGTGTGTGTGTAGGTGTAAGGTAGGGGTGTTACAAGGTGTAACAAGGCATCGGGGTAGATCTTTGCAGGGGACTACTTATAGAGTCATTCAGGTCTTTTGCCTGTAGACATCTCCCGCAGCACTTCACTGTGCATGGCTGGTTTCTCCAGCAGCTCCGGCACTCACTGGCTGAGCAGGCCTTGTTTGAAGAGATGGAAGTGCCTGCCATATCACTCACGTGCAGCGTTTAAAACCCTGTTTTCCCTCCTTGCCCTATGGGGGATTCCTCAGTCTCCCACACATGTCTTTCATAAAGATAAAGGATAACGATATAAAATATAAAGATAAAGGTAAAGCTGAAGGAGAAGGGCCCAGGGCAAAGGGCTACTTGAAATAGACACTTCTTGGGCTTTTAAATTATGAAAACAGGACAAACAGAACCAAAGCAAAGGTCACTGAAATAATGACATAGCTTGAATTGGTATTTGTTTTCTCCTGAACAGTAACAATGTCTTGAAGGTTGTTGTCTGGAGACAAATAGATGTGGAGGGGTAGGAGACAAATTTAGAAATCTATTCTATGATTAGGGCTGTTTGTAGAGAAGGTGAAAGGTGAGTTGTTAAGGATTCTTTTTTTTTTTTTTTTTTGAGT